TTTTTTTTGGGAAACCATGTCTTCGCCATTACTGGAATTTCAAGCACCTAGACTTGAAGCACAAGAAATAGAGACTTAGGAAACAGAAGTCACTTTCTCTCGTGCGTGGAATTAACATCCAATCTCTACTATGATCTGTACCTTCTGTACGTAAAATGAAGTACATTGAAACTATCCTGGCTGTTACTATTGAATGACTGATTGAGCTGCACTGTTGCTTACACTTAGGTGGACAGATGGGTTGAAAGTGCTAGTGTCACTGGGAAGGAGTGGCGGGCAATCAGCAAATAGTCACTACACAATGTTGCGATAAATATCATGTGATTAAGAGTTTTCTTCTATCAGATACTGGGCCCACACTGTTTTCGTACCGGAGTATGGACATTGGACTCGAACGGCACAGCACGTAGAGACAATTATCGTTGAAGCAGCTGTTACCATTCGCCGCCTCACTCTGCTTAACCAGTCATTACCATACAGCTACATAGTTCTACCATGGTTGCGGAAGGAGTGAAACACCTCAACCAAAATATTTAAGTTTTGACGCTCACAGAGGTGTTTCAGTGGTAGCTGTGTACCACCTTATTGTTCAGATGTCAAATTGTAACGTTACTGACCTAGGCCAACGTGATCTTCATCCCCCTCGGGTCGGATGGTTGGTGGCAGAATAATGTGGAAGGATAAAAAACACCTTTTCGTATTATACATAAGCAGACCACAGCAAGTCAGTGTCTGGGAAATATACGGGATGAAAGCAATGAATCTTTGGCTGGTAATCAATCTCATCTGAAATATGCGCCCCCTTATTTGGCTTCCAAAAGGGGAATCGTTGGGGTGTGTTGTGGCCTATCCGTTGACTTGGTGGTCAGCCGATGTTCAGGTCGCGCCCTCACACCTCGGAGGGGTGTGAGAGCGCGACCTGAATGGATCAGATTTGAAAATCGGATAGGACAATTCCCCGAAGTCCACATAAACATTCCGAGCGTCGATGCGATTCTGAATAACTTCACGTTAACTTAATTACACATCTACGGTGTGTGTTCAGTAGCCAAGATGACATCGCTTTGTAAACATCACAAGGTAAAAACAGCTAGCTCAAAACATAGTGCTTATGGTAACAATGAAGAAAGCTAGCAGACCCTCACAATAAGAGTCATCCAACAGTGTTGAATGTTAAACCAATATTCAACTAGATAGTGTTTCCACAATCGAAGGAAAATCGCCGGTTGATAACCTTGAAATAATGGAATAGAAGTCAAAGACCCATCCTGGCACTGATTCATGTCAGAAAATTGAATCCTTTATGAATCGGTCGATATCTGGCTGAATTTTGGAACATCAACATCGTAGCAGCGCACCTGCGAACTTCCAGGCAAATAGATTGATGACAAGAAGTGTCGCTCATATTTATTTCTCCAAAAACTTGCGGTAAGTAAAATAATCTTGTGCGTCACCTCATCCTCATCTAATGAAAAACTCGTGAAACATTTGCAGCTTTACATGCCCCTTTTGCCGACGCTTTTCAAGCTTTCGCGTTTTCGCGTTTAAACCAGAATTTCCTGGATTTACGTCCTGAAAAACTTCCCCTCCAGCCTATATCCCAACTAGCGCTGAGCTCGATTAGTTGATTAGTTTCCAAACTGTATGAAAACTTTTTTGTTACTTATCTGGGTCATTAGCTTCGCGATAGTCTAACGTTCCGTGTTTTCTATCAGTCACGAATAAGTGTCAGCAGCGTTTCCGTTTATCATTGTTGCGAGTCAAGGTGGTCGACTGGATTGTTCGCGCCCGAGAAATACGAAACAAAGCACTCCTCCTGTTCAGAGCTTTTGTAAAAAAGGTGATCATAGCACTGGTGGTCCTAGTGCTCGTTTGACGTTCTAAGGGATCCAATCGGTAATAGCCCTGGTACATCGTGAATCAAAATATCGCATAACTTGCATGGCCTGCCTGGACTTCGATTCCACGACGTAAGCAGTCCCTAAATTCATTCGTTGAATTCGGGATTCCGGATCTACTTCTGACTTCGTGTGTACAGGAGAACTCCGGATCTTTTTCCGCCTCTGCGTGTATGGGAGAATTTCGAGCATAAATCTGCCACAGCGCTTTGACTGACGCCGAGTGCATGTTCATCCTTCTTCCATAGAGCACAAGTCACCGAGGCATACATATGTCGAGAAGATGTGTGGACAGCCATATGTTCTTTGTCTTCTACACTACCCCCTCGATATTCTCAAATGCTCCCCATAAAGCACGCTTCCTTCTACTCAGCTCGGAGCTAGGGCAATCATCATTTTGGCTACTCGACCTAGACACACGTTGCTGGGTCTTCCAGAAATATTCGTTCCCTTTAGCGTTAAAGGACTCGTTTCGTTGAGTTCAGTGTTGAGCCAATCTTTCCACGCGCTGCCACATTCGGCCAGCATTCCTTCCGCCTGCTCGACGTTCGGTTATAAGCACACTGTCGTCTGCATAGCGAGGTGAATTAAATAACAGCCGTCGACTTCCATCACTTCAATTGCCGCATGGGTCTCAAAGTTTTCTTGTTTGGACATATAGTTCAAAAAAAAAAGAATCACCTTGAAGATCATAAAGCCCTTGCAGAACATATCACTCTTTTCAATAATGATAGAATTTTTTCTAACGTTGCTTAAGGTGGAGGTTTCGGCGGACCAGGTGGAATGGGTGCCGGATTCGGTGGCCCAGGCGACATCGGTGGTCCAGGTTCGATGAAGTTTTTGAATCATTTCAATACTTGCAAGGTTTCTGATTGATGTTAAAAAATTATTTGCCTGCAAGACAAATGAAGGTTTCTATTTTCTAACGTCATTTATAGGTCCCGTCATTGGTGGTGGCAATGGTTTCGGTGGTCCAGGTGGATTCGGTGGTCCAGTTGGTTTCGGAGGTCCGGGTGCCTTCGGTGGTCCAGGTCCCAGTCGTTTTAAATTATCAGTTTTCCTGACACCGTTTGAGGACCGAAGTATTAAGTATTAGGTTGATGCATAAAATTTCAGCCTATTTTTTCTTCACGATTTCGGCTGGAATGCAAAGGGAGCTCATACCAAGCTCATGAAACATGTAGCAGGACGTCCTTTCTTACGCACATGCATGTCTTGGTTCGCCAAATTCATGAAAGGAGATTTTTCTCACAAAGATACTCCGAGGTCGGGTCGGCCGATGAAGTTGGATTTGGAAAAATACGTTCCACCGTGGAGGAGAATCCGTACATAACCACCGAGGAAATGCTCGGCTATAAACAATCGACGATTGTACGTAGACTCAGACAGCTCGATGAGGTAGGAAAGCTCGGTCAATGAGTTACACATGAACTGTCAACTTATGACCCTTCGAGGAGGGTAACCACCTGCACCTCTCTCCTCACTTCCAAACGAGGTTCTATCTTCCCAATCGATGATCACAGCAGATGAAGTGGGCTACGATAACTCTGTGAGGGGGCGGCAGTAGGTCGACAATGGAGAGCAGCCAAAGGCCACCCCAATGGCCGACCTTCACTCCAAGAAGGTTATCCTGTGTCGTTAGTGGTCCTGAAGAGGCATGGAGCACTAAGAGCTGCTGGAGAAGGGGCAGACGATTCTCACATACGGCACCCAGCTGCGGAAATTAAAAGATCACATCGACCGCACTCGTCCATCGAATGCGGAAATCTACTTTCGCTATGACAAAACCCGGCCTCGCACCGCAAAGGCGATCAAGGCCGAGCTGGAGAAGTACGGATCGCTAATTGTTGCCTAGCCCTCTAGCCCTGACCTCCTTCTGACAACTGGCTGTTCGGCCAACTACAGCGCTCTCTGGGCGGAAAAAAGTTTGAAACAGAAAATGATGTCGGAGAGGCACTCGAGGTCTTCTCAAAGGCACAGTTCACGATAAAAATGGTTTCGGAGGTTCACACATGGTATGAATTCGGGGCCCCCTCTGATACCATATGTGCCGAAATGAGGTCGTAAAACGTTCTGGACAGGGCACAATAAGGGCCCTGAGAGTGGGGCATGGGGAGCCCCCGCCCCTCGCTAGGCTGACCACGAAATCTAATTGCCGCTCAGCACTTTCGCATTGGAGCAACATTAAAGAACAATCGATAAGCTGATTGGCAAATTGCCACGGATGGGCATGTAGATTTTGCGGCGTTCATGTTTTTTTGGAACATGCTATTTTCAAAAGAGAGTCAAAGAGTGCTCTTGACATTGCACAAAAACACATCAATGACCTCAAATGAAGAACGCGCATTGAATGAAAAAAATTGAAAATCCATGCATAGAATTCATAAAACAACGCAATATAAGCAGAATAAGTACATATAATCGTAAGAACATAAAAAATATAAGCAAGTTTACTTACCTTTGTGTCTCGGCCAACTGAATATACAAAGTATTCGGTACCATTCTACTATTACACCCCCAAAAACTCAAAATTTTAATTTTCGATGGAACTTTGCCTATAGGGGTAATCCGATACCCTGATAACGAATATGACCTTCATTTTTGGCGCTGGCGCCATTTGGCGTCAGAGGAGTTCTCACCAAATTTGCTGAAATCTTGCGTTTAGGGGTTATTTGAGGTCCTGATAACGAATATAACATCCATTCTACGCGCTTAGGCTATTTGGCGCGACGACAATGCATAGAGGTTTTGGGGGAGCCGATGCGACCCAAGGCGCTTTCCCATGGTTGAAGACAGCCAGGTTGTGGGAAAGGAGATGACGTAGGCACTTTTCCATGGCTAAAGACGAACCCCTGATGAGATGAACATCACTGTTTCATTTCACAACTTGTGAACGTGTGTTGCGATGACTCTCAGCGCTCTGAGAAGGGGCAATCTCCAGCAAGAACTCCTCGATTTCTCGTTGAAGGACGTGCACGAAAAGATGCAAATGGATCATCTGGACCTACAGAAGTGGCTGCGATCCATGGGGCTACTGGCGTTGCCATTGTGCCCTCTTTGTCAAGGATCTATGAGTCCCAGAAACGATGAGCACCACAACGGATGGGTGTGCCACCACCGATCATGCCGAACTGGGCCATCGAACGAAACGAAGGTGTATGTTCCAGCTCGAAAAGTCTCCTTCTTCGAGAGTCGAACCTCGCAAAGTCGGCCGTGTTTGCGCTCAGCTACTTCTGGCTGCGCGACATGGGTACCGTGAAGGGCAAGGTTTACGAACTTAACATCGGTCACTGTAGTGTTGTCCAGTGGGAGCAGTACTATCGCGACGTCTGCGCCGAGCATTACAGAAGGAATCCTCCAGTTATTGGTGGGTTCGGATGTACAGTGGAGATTGACATAACGCTGGTGGCGAGAAGGAACTAAAGTCGTGGTCGTTGGGTGCGCAGACGCCAGTGGCTTTTCGACGGTATCGAGAGAGGGAGCGGACGAGCGTTTCTGAGGCTGGTGCGAAGGAGGGACGCTCCGACTCTGCTTCGTCTTATCGGAAAGTATACAAGATCTGGCACGACGATCATTAGTGACTGCTGGAGGGCATATAGTCAGATCGCCGCACTGCCCAATGTTTACCGGCACTTCCAGGTCAATCACCAGTTGAATTTTGTAGATCCACAAACTGGTGCTCATACTCAAAACATAGAGGGCTTTGGCAGAAATACAAAGCGATGTGCAAGCAACACTTTGGAAATATAATAACTCACGCTTTGAGAACTGCCTGTGCGAGTTCCTATAGAAGAAGGAGTTCGGAGGTCGACGGGAGGTCGTCTTCAATTTCTGGGACCGAGTTGCGGCACTATCAGGCTGGTCTTTGTTGAGATGTTTACAAAAAAGTCGGAAAAAACTCATGCATCAACCTAATATGAAAGCTAAGAAACAAATGAAGTTTACTTTTATGACGTTACAATCTCACTCCCGTGGTTGTTGAAGGCGTCAATGGTCCCGGCAGAATGGGTGACAATCTAGGTCCAGCACCGTCTCCAATTTTCACACTCTTCCACAAATTTAGTCACTGGTGTTCCTAAGGTAGTTCTCATGAAAGAAATGGAAATTGCCTATCTCGAAGACATTTTTGGCAGTTACGATTTCCTCAGTCAAGAAAATATTGTTGTCCAACTCCAATTCTTTAGGTATGTTAATAACTTTTTCACTTTCGTTTAGGTGGTTTTGGTGGTCCAGGTGGTATGGGCTGGATAAGAAGAAGAAGAGATGCACAAGGTATGAGCTACCGTCCAAGAAACTTATCTTTTTTTGGAATTCAGACCATTGCCATTGTCAGATTGCCGATTTAATTGCACTAATGTGCTCCTACTCTTATAATAATTCTTTTGGAACGTGGCAAAAACTAGTTGAGACCAGCTCGGACACTAGCTCAACAGTATAAAAACAACTTTGACCGTGCGGTAACATTTGCTGTTCTACTATACATAATCCGATAATCCGCTAAGTGTGTCTGTTGGTTTGTCGGCGTGTTTGTGTGTGTGTCCGACCGGATATTCATAACTCCCGTCCCCGAAGACCTAGAGCATTCAAACTTGATAGGAGCACGCAAGGCAGGTAAGAACACTTAAGGTAGGTGGCAGGATCAGACCTCTTCAAAGAGGACGGAGCGTGCCCGACAGGAATTTTGGACCGCAAATTCATAATGCCTGTTTACGTGGACCTAGAGCGTTCAAATTTGGTAGAACTACACTTTTCGTGGTATAGAGGAACCTCGGCATCTCAATAAGTGATGTAGGATATGACGGAATATATAATTCTGTTTGTTCGTCGGCTGAAGTAATACAAAATCGGATTCTGATAGTAACTGGTAAGGGAAGTTAAGAGACCTAAGAAGAGGCTTCCTACCGATCAAAATCTTAACGCCTTCGGTATTCACGATGCAGCTTTGACTGTTTAGTACGTTTCATTCTACAAGACGGGATGATAGGGTAGGATTACAAAAGTGAGTGGTAAGTGCAGTGCAGTGATAGAGAGCCATTAATGGCACTACGATAAGAAGATGAGAATTTTGTTCATTTCTTGCTGTTAGATTACGACCGCCCCCCAGCAAGGTTTGTGAATTAGTAAAAGATCCTCTTTGTTCGATATCATTTGAACAAAACTTAACCGGCCACCAGTAATTTTGAATTCTCTACTTATGATATCTCATTAAAGAGATGGGCCATTGATGACGACATTTGATAATGGCGTTATCATTACTCGAAATAATTGTGAGTACTGTCCAATGCTTCGATAGCCTAACAGTTGAGCCTTCAGTGGATATTTACTCTTGAAAACGAAAGCAAAAGATCGAGTTCTAATCAAGCACCGACCTACACTGAATACCATTCGCACCGCGCTGTTAACCCTGTGCCAAACTCTGTGCACAGAAAACTATAGTATTATTTGTTTCTAAAAAATAATGGAAACACAGCCGATTACGATTATTTCGGCGAGAAAGGCATTAGAGGCGTTTTGGATTTTCCAAAGAAGTCCTAAAATGAACAACAGAGATGAGTGCCCATCTATAACCAACGATCTTTTGCCATACATACCGCACTGCGACTTATGACGCAGTAGCAATATGACGTGATCTTCCTNCGACTGCGTCGAAACGTTAGGCCGTTGACTAATAAACTGTTCCACCTAACAACCTCGTTCGCACAAAATTATTTCAATCATAAACAGCCGATTACTACATTTTTGTCAAAGAAGGAGGGAAGGCCAGCGGGCGAACCAGCTGGTATCCCATAAAATGACATTAAATCCTTTCAATTTTCAGCCTCGGTTGACGCTGCCTTTGAGCTCGGCCGCTTCGCGCTGCAGAACATATTCCGTTGATCAGTATCCACTCAATGTATAAGATCCCACTTGAGAAGTGTTTATTACCTATGTGAATTGTTCAATAAACTTAACTTGTCAAGTCTTTACAGATGATGTGAGTGGTTTCACCTCTGCCATCTCTTTACTGCATATGACTTCTCGACAAAAGCTGACTGCTACACTAGGAGTCGGAACGGGCGCTCAGAATTTTTGTCAACACTCCCGTTCATTCCATTGGGATCAGGAAAATGGGAGGGTCAATTTCCTAATCAATTTAAAATGGCATGAATTCAAATGGTATGACCCTCTTATTTAACATTTTGAGGTAGACCCGGTTTGGTGGTTGGTAAAAGATTATGCTTCGACTCGATGTTCTGTTATGCACCGTTATTTCGCCGCAATACAGGGATTCGTCAAGTCTTGTGACGTAGACCACTATTCCCATTACAACAGCTTATCAAATATCGACATAATGTGCCCCTTCCTCCAAATATGCGTATGCATATCCCCTGTATTACAATTTGTTTCGCAGAAGCGGCGCCTCGAGACACGTCTTGCCGAAGAAATTACAAAGATTTCTCTCTCTCCATTTATGATAGAATATTAGGTGCCTGTTTGCAGTTAGTTTTCAGTGGTTTGCGAATGACCGTGGGCTGAGTGAGCGAAATTGAAACTTCTAGACAAGAATGCCCAGTTCTAGTTGGTCGAGGAAGGACTAACAGGAAAGGTCTTCCGGGCCGTGAGGTGCTTTTTGAAAATGTTTTGTTGCATGGCGTAGGGGCATGAGCACTGAGTACAGAACTATGGTCCATTTCCGCTAAATGGCCTTCTGAATGCCAAAAAAGGAGAGAAAATGATTTTGTGTTGCTGGAACCAGATCCTCGGGAAGCTGGAGTTTTGGCGTTTGATGGTGTCACCTCCAGATTAGCTCCGTATTGCACCAAGGCCAAAGCAATTGCCTGACTGGTCATGGTCGTGCCCAGGACCAGCGATAACCTCTACAAGTTGAATTTCACAGATATTGACTGAGGCGATATCAAAAGTATTCGTGGGACAGGCTTACAAGGAGAGTAGAAATAAAATTTTGCCACTAATTTCCGAACATTCATTCCTTCAAGTTTTCTATAATGTTGTACAGACGGCTTATTATACAGTGATGTCATTGTTAAAAATGCTATTAAAGCTCTTCTTCACGCGGCATCTGTGCATTTAAGTTGCATTTTTAGTTTACAATAAGGTTATAGAGCAACTCTCTAGATTTTACATTTTTGTATTTTTCTCTCACGTATTTGATTGTTAAATACATTTTATGTGGAGGTGGGAGGTGCTAAAGTGTATCGTGGGTAATATCAGTATAACTCTTTATTCTTTAACCATATACGTACCTTTAACATCGGAAATCATTTTCATGCTCCACAGACTTTTTTAAAATGGGAAACTTCATTCGAGTGAGGCTGTTTTTGTTTGAAAACCTAGCATGGATGTATCTGTTATTGTGTGATAGCTAAAACAGCAGTAATGATTGGAAACAGGAAGAGAAATGGTTCTGCACATGTACAGGGTGCGGCAGATGTTCTGGCAACGGTAAATATGATTGTAGTAGTCAAATCGATCGATACATGATACAACTCCAATAGCATTTATCAACAGCTATATAGATCACTAAAACAACCTAGACCTCCGAATAGCCTCCTTTTGCGCAAGTACAGGTCGAAAGTCTCCAAGGAAATGCGTCGACGGCAGCACGGAGGTAGTCTACGTCCAAACCCTCCCATGCTTCAAGAAGGGTTGCACGTAGAGCATCCAATCTTCTAAGCTTTGTAGAGCAAGCTTTCTTCTCAATAAGTGACCACACGGAATAGTTCAATGGAATGAGACCTGGACTAATTGGGGGTCAATCGTCCGACGAGATCAAGTCCTGGAAGTGCGTTGCGCACCACCCCTGTACCATCTCGGACCTGTGTGCTGGAGCTGAGTCCTATTGATAAGTCCATGTCCGGTTGCCGAAATGGGATTCTGCTCAGAAAAGTTCCTCCTTTTCCAAAACGCCTTTTAATTAGGTCTCGCTATCCATCTTGGCCCCTTTCTTTAAGAAAATTAGGGGCGTCTTGCCGTCCGATGTGATTGCCCCAAAAACCGTCAACGAAATGTGGTGTAGAAATCGCTGAGCGATCCCTCCATGTTGGCTGGGTTCTGCAGGGCTTCCCGCTATCATCCTATCGTTTTGGATGTTCAGGAACTGATCTTTTGAAAACAGACATTCGTCAGTGGAAAGGTTGTTGCCGGATTTTTTCTCGAATGATTTTCACGATCTCTTTCGTCGTCACTTCACTTCAGTCTTCTACTTTTGGGCTTGTCCACCATAGTTCCTGTCGCCTTGTACTTGTTGACGTTGTTGTACATGGTTCCTGAAGGAATTTAGAGCTGTTTGAAGATGGTCTTTGCCGTGCATCCAGCCAAATGGAGTTGCAGGATGGAGGCTCGTTGGTCTTTGCTTGTCACCATTTTATAAAATGGCATATTCAAGAACGGTCAATTCATGGAATGTATAGAAGGAGAGGACT